CTCACCACAACTTCTCCGTCAAACATCAAAAACACTGAACGAGGCACCTTCCACTGGTCTCCATCCTTTTAAACCTCCAATGGACGACCTTTCTTCCTCGCCTGCTCATGCGCTTCACCCTCCCCAAGAAACCTCACCCACCACCATCACCACCGCTGCCACCGCCACTCCTTGCCCAACATCTACTAATACCACCAAAACTCACTCTGCTCGCAAATGTAAAGGCAAAGGTGGTCCCGACAACAACAAATTTAGGTACCGTGGTGTGAGGCAGCGAAGCTGGGGCAAATGGGTCGCTGAGATCCGAGAGCCTCGCAAGCGAACCCGAAAGTGGCTCGGCACCTTCGCCACCGCCGAGGACGCCGCTCGAGCCTACGACCGCGCAGCTATCATCCTCTACGGCTCTAGGGCTCAGCTCAATTTACAACCCTCCGCCGCCTCTTCTTCCCACTCTTCCGCCTCTCGGGCTTCTACACCTTCTTCCTCTTCTCAAACCCTTCGTCCCTTGCTTCCCCGCCCCTCTGGCCTTAGCTTCGCCTTTTCTTCTGCCGCCACATCGGGTTTCTTACCCTACGGGGTTTACCCCAATAATACTAATAATACTAATTATATCCCGCAAATGATATGCCCGGTGAATAATAATATGGCGCAACAGCATCGTCAAGTGGTGCAACTTCCACAGAAGTCGCATCGCCACTCCCCAGAACCTGATGGTGATATTGTCGAGAACTCCAACACGGCAGCCTCGTACCAGGATCAGCTGGTGCAGCAGCATCAGAATTGCATGCACGACGATATTAGTTCTCTCGTGAGTTCGGATGGGTCAGGTTTGTGTGCCTCGCAGACACAGACTGTAGTTGCACCTGCGGATCCGTGGCCGTTGACGAATGAGGAAGAGTACACACCAAGTCTATGGGACTACTATAACGATCCTTTTTTCTTTGATTTTTAATTGATCTGATATATACATATATATATTTAGCGCGAATGAACGGAGAACTGCTCATCTCGTATCTATGTGGTGCGAACACGCGCGCATTAAGAATGAATAACTTTGGGTGGAAATTGACATTATTCCAAAGTGAATAATAGTGTTGCATGCGGCGGCGGCGGCGGAAGTCGAATCCATCTGGAGAAGTCATTACCAGGTTAAAGTTTGATGAACGTGTTTGTCAAGTAAATCAAAAGCAGCCAGGTGCTTGCCAACTACCCAGATCGCGTCTTCTTAATTCTGTTGAAAGAAAAAGGCCTTAAGATCAAGGTATGTTATCGGGTTGCCTAAATTAGTCAGGAGTTTTTATAGAATCAGCTAACGATTCCAGGATCATTATTCGATCAAGGATTCGCGGGTCCCGGCCCGCCTTACTTTTTTTTTTTTTTTTTTTTGTTGGTTATATATGAGTAGTTTTCTTCCCTCTCTCACCCGGGCCAGGCGTTGTTGTGTGCAAATGCTCTATATTCATGGGTGTGTATGAGAACTTAGGAATGTTTGGTATGAAGCATTAAAAATAAAAGATTGGGATTGGGATTGAGACTGAGATTAAAAAATAGTATTAATCTGAGAGATTGCTTATTACATGAGATTAAACAAACTCATATATGATAAACTGGGGGAAGTATTATTCTCTAATTCTATGTTTATGAGTTTGTTTAATCCCATATAACAAATAAATAGTTATGCTAAAGACATTTTTGGATGATTTTTTTTTAATTACAATCCTAGCTTCTATTTTTCATTTTCAATGCTTTGTAGCAAACAGGCTCTTTAAGATTTTCTGAGGATTGAATCTTGAGGAGAGGAGAGACAAAAACGTAAATGGCGAGGAGAGAAATAAGCTCTAAACTCGATGCATGCTTAGCCGTATGCTACAAATTAAATTAGAAAAATGGAATGCCATGAGACATTATCCAAGCTTGCCATAAAGTTCTTCAGGATCATGTTCGTCCAGGTTTGAGTGGGGCCATTTCATAATTGTTTGGTGACAATTAATCTACGTTACCATTAAGTTATAGACCATTATTCGGTTTAAATGGGATAGTTTATTGTCGTAATATGTTTGAGTTACATTCTATCGACTCAGCCTTTTGTCCGGTCTTTGTTTTATATATATAAGCCGATCATGAAAATTTCGGCTAAGAAAAGCTTGATCAAGGTCACTATTGATTACTGATTATGGCATGGCTCCTAGGAAATGCGATGCCGATCAATGGATTCAAATCTGATTAAAGCTGAAAAAATGAACATATAATGATTTTCACATGCTTACAACAAATTATGCTTTGAACCCTAAAACTCGCAAACTTACACCACAATAGTTAATTAAAAGACCGTTTCTCATTAACTGAATCGTTCCGTGCCAGTATAATAAGATTGGTGATATGTCGTTATAAAGGAACCCTCTTCGATGTCATTATGAAAATGTTTCAATCAGTTTACTGGTATTGTTCTGGCCATTAACGTGTGTTTTATTTTAGGGCCTGTAAACAAAGCACAACGCAATGAAGGTTGAAAGAAAATAGCTAGAAGAGCAGATAAAAAAAAAAAAAAAGATGAAAATTGGATTGCATCAAATGAACGGGATTCCAGAATCCAACTCTGAAATTTAAATGGGGCGTGAAATGCGTCAATTCTTTCTGAGATGATGAATGTTGTTCAGCTTATCTTATAAGGATGCGTTTTCGGGTAAGAAGGGGAAGCACCTCAATCCTGCAAGGGATGCGAGCTAGGTCTCTAATAAATCAAAGCTTGGTGGAGAATTAATATGTATTCATTTGTGAGCTTAAATCACAAACAATACTATCCAGATCGCGACTAATCGACTAATTTTTCAGCCGTCAGAAATTCTTTCCTGAAGAATACTTGATGTGGGGTTTCGGTTGACTTCATAGAATTCGAACTGTAGGATGGAAGATGAGAGTCGTTGTTAATTGAAATGTAAGAACAGGTAAGCTGAGTCATATATAAGAAGCGGGGATAATATCTTGTGGGACTCCGCACGCGTGGGTTTAATATCTCCGTCACCTTCAGACAGTTATCGCCCTAATTGCCCAGGATTCTGCTTCACGATTTGGGCCTTCATCCCTTAGCGCCAGTATTTTTAATTAATCTGCATGTAAATCAAACCCAAACAACGGTAAAACAATAGATTAAATATCATGATTGGAATGAGGAGACGTGATGAACTTCGAAATCGGGTGGGGCATGTCAATTGATTGAGCCGTAACTTAGGAGGCTACTATATATCTTAATCCATCGTTGTCTACCTCTCTTGCTTAATTATTGGATCTACTTCCTAATATCTTTTGCTTCCAAAATATCTCAGAACGCGTCGGAATCTAGTTCCCTCCCACTACTGCCCAACGTGTAATCATTTATTCGGGGACGTTTGTCTGTATTCCATATTTCCGCTCAGTTTTTCCACACACCCGCACAAAAGTCCTCTTAAACGCTATCCAAATACAGTGTGGTTATTTGTCCCCGCAAGGAATAGCACATACACAACCCGTATGACACGTTGGTTGGGCCAGCAAATACATTTGCTTTAACGACGGTATGCAAGTTGTGTTTGCAGCAGTCACTTGGGCCTCGTGTGTGACGTCAAATCTATTCGGCCGTGCGGTCAAATCGGAGCCGAGCCCACTGGCGTTTCAATCTTTTCTGTCTCTCTCGCTTCCTCGTTCACGCGCCCTGCCCTTCTTCCAAAATCATCTGCTTCCTGTCCTGATATTTTACCAATGGCCCTTTCATCTTTTAACATTTTTGGTCCAACGTAATTGATTGTCACGCTGTCCCTTATGTTGTCGCTGAAACATTCTATTTCCTAATTATTACAATGCAGGCATCATTTCTTCTGCGATCTAAATATATGTCCTTAAAATAAAAGCCTCCAGATCAAATACAAGGACTATTTTACTTTATTATTCTGGCAAAAAGATTTAGCTCTTGCCTTTTATTTTACAAAAATTCTATCATAAATTACTGCATTATTAATATTTTTAAGCGTGGAACACTGGATTCCTTTGGATTTTTCGAATGATTTTGAGTTTGAAAAAATTCATATCACAAGTCAAGTGCCTGCATGAATATAAATTTTCCAGAATTTAATTACAGAGAAAAGTTATGATTTAGATCCGCGCTTGTCGATTTTTTTTATTCATATAGATGAATCTTAGAAATCTGATGCCTTTTTATGACGGGTATTGCGTGTATTGTTTATATTAAAAAAGAGATACTTGGCAAAAAAATAGTATGCATAAAGGGCACTCTAAGATTTCTCAGTGATAATCAGTTAATTCCCCAGTTTACTTTCATTGCTCCGCCTCTCCTCCTCCTCCCCTCTCTCTCTCCCCCCCCCCCTCTCTCTCGTGTTCACACCTGACTTTGCAACTTGGATTATGAAACTAGCTATTAGTTATACTTATAAGAGCAAATTGACTAATTTGAGAAAATTTAAAAAAAAATAGATTATATTAGTTATTTATTAATAAATAACTGATCTAACAAATAAATAAGTGTTGTCTTTCCTAATATATCCTTACTAATCAAGTGTATTGGTTAGAACTACTATTGTTAGAAGCACTACCTTGAAAAAAAAATATAAATACAAGAGACAGAATGAATCGGGGTTTTATATTTATGAACAAACTAAAGGTCAAATAAGATCTTATATTAAGAACCGCGGTAGTATAAGATTTAGTTGACTAATTTGAGTACATTATGAAAATAAGTTTAATTAGTTATTTGTTACAAATATGTGTGTTTTTTAGAATATTTTTACTAATAATATATATTAATTACAATTATCATCTGATAAAATTTTTAATATATGTAAATACTAAAAGAATTATTTTAAATAAGTAAATAAATATAAAAAAAATTAGGATTTTATATTTATAAAAGTCAAATAAGTTCCTCTATAACAAGGTGGCAGTGTAATCTTAGTCTTTGAGCGATAAAAATCCAATTATACATGTACCAAACCAAAAGCAGCTATAAATCTCACGTTTGCCTGTGGTCTCTGGTATTCATAAATTAATGCGGAGTCACAGTATTCAGTGAGTCCGCATTGGATCCTCTGAAGCGCCTTTATGCCCCAGTCAGCCATCGCCGCCGCCTTCACGATCACCGTGTCCCTCGCCGACGTCGTCGCTTCCACCGTTGTAGCCTAGAACCGCTATGACAAGCCAAGATTCACAGGGTTTTACATGGCACTACACGGAGCTGGATGACCGAAACCTCGAAATCCGAGGCCGAACATTTTTCTTTGTGGTCGTCCTGTTCTCCATTATCCTTATCATGACCCTTCTTTTCCTTTATGCTCGCTGGATCTGGAGGTACCGGGGCCAACATTCCACCACCTACCATTCCAATGGAGCGCGCCTAGCGCCGCCGGCCCCTCCGGCACAGGGCCTCGACCCCGCTTCGATCAAGGAACTGCCTATAATTTTGCACCAAAGAACTTCGGAGGCCAACAGTAAATTGGAGGAAACAGAGTGCTGTATTTGCCTCGGTACGTTCAAAGACGGGGAGAAATTGAAGGTTTTGCCCGGCTGTGACCATAGCTTCCATTGTGAGTGTGTTGATAAGTGGCTTTCCAATCACTCTAGTTGTCCTCTCTGCAGATCTTCTCTCAAGGTTCATCTTTCCCTTCCCAAGATTTTGATTCAAGAACCACCCAATCGAATCAATCTTCCCTTGTAGCTTTCTTTTATTTCTAGTATGAATCTCTAACTCGGCGGCTATTTATAATTGAGCCGTGAACACATAACAAGTAATTGTAAATTAAACTTTCTTTTTAATTTAGACTTGAACTGGTGATTGCAAATGGAAAAAAGATAATTAGGAAAGTGGACTTGTTGGTGGGAATATTTAATTCGAGTTCTTCGGTGGTTCTTAAGTTAGATAGCAGTTCCAAAGACATGCTAGTTAGGGACGCCACTTGTGCGATCAAAGTCCTGAAAGAAGGTGGTGTTTTGAGTCAGCTTATGGGCTGGGTGTGTGAGTCCTAGAGGAAAATGATCCAGCTTGGTGGTTCGTTGGGCAAAATGGAAGTGAGAAGTTATTAAAAATTGGCACCCCAATATCTGAGTAGATGATTCTGTTCTGCGGTGAGTGCTGATCTATGTGTGCTTTGCATCGGCTGGTGAGTTAGGAAGATGCTTTGTTTGCTGTTAAAGGGTGGGTTGTCGCATGACATGGAAAGCTACATGCGTCCAGCCCCACCTTTTGTATGTTAAGTTGGGCGTTGCTTCCTTGCAGCTTGTACCACCGTGTCTTAGAGATGAAGTTAGTCGAGTAGAAGCAGTAGGGGTAACAGGATAAGAATAAGATCACGCGCTTCTGGAATTTGGAGGTGGGTTGCTCTTTCTTGCTGTGATCAACAATGCAGGAGCAATCAATCAATCAATGCTGATATTTAAGGACACCTGGTGGGTCACTTAATGATGGATGGGTTAGTGGCACGCTCGGCTTATCCACTCCGCCTGTGTCTTCAAGGTATGGGCTTGTGTTGCGTAACTCATTATTATGTCAGTACTTCTGTGAGTGAGCCCGCTCCTTTGTTCTGCAGGCTGCAACTTATTCTATGGTTTTGCCGTTAATTTCAGGCAGTCAGCTCATGAATGAATAAATTGATAATCAGTTTTCATTTCATCGTTTTCTTTGATTTTACCATCGCTCCCTTAGAACAACAAAAGCATCCCCAATAATAGTTGGATTATAAGTGGAATCAAACTAGTTGATACGTCATCATTGATGCAGTGAATTCAAATCTGGTGGATAATAAAATCATGTTGGGACTCAGAAGATTTGCATTATTCAAAATCTAAACTAAATAGTGGTATTCAATGTCATTTAGGTGTGGCATGAAAATGATAAATTTTTGTAAACTGTGAGTATTTTCATCTTTTATCGGAAAAATGTTGGGTATTATCATGTCAAACAGTTTTCTAAAATATTGCATTTTTGTTAAACTAATCTGATTATCATGAAAGAATGTTTACCCCCTATCGCGAGCGCGTTGAGCCCAATACACACGACAGTGACGGACTGAACATTAGTGAAGTTGGGCTCATTGCAATCAAACACAATTGATGTGCTGAATAAGAATGCCTTCGAATAAGACTGTCTCTGATAAATAAATATATATATATATATATATATATATATGAGCTGTTAAATTTAGTGACCCACAAATGAAAATGCATAACACACGTCATTTGTATATTCGTTCAATTTCATGCAATGGTGGCCAACACAGACTTTCTCTTCTTTAAACTGAAAAAAGACCTGTCCCTTTTTTTTTTTATTTTGAGGAAGAAAGTAGCAGTGCTTGTTCCAATAAGGTAGACGTGTTATTTTATGCAGTTGCACTGAGGTTGAATAATAAATTTAGTCATGAATTATGAACAATGACATTTGTTATAAAATTTTAGATTGTTGATCTACTGATGTAGTAGGCAGGTTCAAGAATCAAGATTTTTTTTAAGAAATATATAGTAAAAATATCACAAAATGAATGATTTTATATTGTACATATATTTTATTTATCAATGAATTTCTCCCATTTTTTATTTGTATTTTTCTTCGCTTTTCGTCACGGCCATTGAACTAAAATTATACCGCTGTAAAATTAAAAATTGATGAATAAATATAAACTGTCAACATTTTATTTGAAGCAAATCTACTTTGTGGAAATATTTAACCTGAATCACTTGAAGGTATAAAAAACCGATTCATTTAAATTCCACATGGGATATGAGAGGTGAAGCAGAGAAGGGAAAATGCGGGGGAGAGAATCATTATTGTATGTCTCCTCTATTATGCCAAAAAAAAAAAACTCATCTATAATTGTTTTTTTGTCAACATCTCCTCTACTTCTTTAGGCTTTTTTTGGTTTAACGGAGGGGATGGGGTTATGAGTTTTGTTTGGTTGGAGGGAAAGGGAGTGATGGGGAGGTTTCTTATTTGGTTCAAGAGGAAAAAGAATAGGAGTTAATTATAAGTTAACAAATATATCTTTATCTCTTTATGTAGATTTCTTTATTATTTTATCACAATATTTATATCATAATTATTATTTTCTAATTTACGAATGTAAAAAAAAATCAGTTACCTTGAGATATAACAAATAAATTATAAATAACCATAAATTAAAATAAATGTCAATAAAAAAACTATATTATAATCTTTAGCATATTATATAAATTATAAATAAATTTATGCAACAAGTTTTGAAATATTTCGTCCTTAATTAGATAACATGCGCAACTTCAAATTCTTAATCAAGTAACACATAGAGTTTTGTGTAAAAAAAATTAAATTGAATTAAAATAGGTATATATATAGACACGCAAATTAACGAATTTGGTTATTGATAATATCATTTTATTGGATCTCAACAACTTCAACTCATATAAAACCAGTAAAGAACTGCTTCATACAGAATAAATGAATTAAAAAAAAAACTAAGATGAATGAAGTGGAGGATCAAGCAAGAGGAGGGGATTGGGTAGGAGGAAAAGATGGGGGAGATTAATGGTAGCTAGTGTGGGGAATAATGAAATCAGAAAAAGAAAATATGGAGAGAGAAAAAGAACATCTAAAGAGTAAAAAAAAAATCTGTAGAAAAGTAGGGCCTAAAAAGAAAAAAAGAGTAAAAAAAAAGGTTTTTTTAATTAAAAAGGATAAGCTTGGGATATTCAAAAACTTACATAGGTTAGGATGAGACATAATATTTTCTTCCTCTTAAAAGACCTCAAATTTGGAGGGAAGCAAAAAGAGGGGAGGAGAGTACTAAAAGACAAAATATTTTTCTACCTCTCATTTTCATTTTTCTGAACCAAACACAATTTTTCTTTCATTCTCCTTCACTTTTTTTCAAAAACCTTCTAACCAAACAATGGGTTGGGTTCTCTTCTGATGTGCCCCAAAAAAAGCGGGTCAAAGCAGTTTAGTTTTCAAGCTCTTTTTTTATGGTTTAATTTAAGAATAATGGGCTTACAAGGAAGGAAGCCCATTCAACCCGAACCATAATAAGGCCCAGCTTAGGGCTCCTTAGGGTTTCTTGTCTATAAAATTATCATCCCCTCCCTTGAGGAACCGTAGTTCATTCTCCGCAGCTCTCATCCTCTTGGAACTGTTAAGCGTTCTGAGGCGAGGAAGGGAAGAGAGGTCCGCTGTAGTGCATCATGAGAGCCAAGGTCAGCTAAATGAACACACACTTGTTTCGTTTTCGGCCTGTAGACTATTTTCAGCTTCCCACTTGTCGTTTGTTTATTGGTTTTCGCAGTTTTCGGCCTGTAGATTTCTTCTCTTCTATTTTCAGCTTCCCACTTGTCGTTTGTTTATTGGTTTTCGCAGTGGAAGAAGAAGCGTATGAGGAGGCTGAAGAGGAAGCGCAGAGAAAGATGAGGCAGAGATCTAAGTAGTCTTCTCAAACTAATCTCTTAGTTTCGTGTACTTGTGTTTTCTCGTTTGTTTGCTGTCATGGAGTAACCAGGAGCGATTAGTGCAAGAACTACTGGTATTTCACATTAATTTCATTTTCACTTATTTATTTGGATCCTAGTTGAAAGATGTTTTGTCTCCAAATTAAGATGTTTTTGAATATTCGTAGTTCCGATTCTCTTTAGTTGCGATTATATTGTGGAATGGGCTGAGCTGTGGTTAGTTATGCGTGATACGAGGTTTTAGGCATAGAGTCGTTACTCACTTCTAATTATGTATTACGTCAAGTCCGTCGGATGAATGATGGATACTTTCGCCTTATTTCTTGCCAACGTATGCTTTCGCCTGATAATTCATACGGCTCTAATGGTATGTTAATGTAATCTCGGTCCGAACCTGAACCAAGATTTATATTCAATATTGCATGACAAACCCGATTAACGTTACAAGTGAATCGGGTTTGCCAGGTAGCGTTAATCAGGAATCAGGAAGGTCTCGCTTGGAGCGCTTGAGAAAATCGAGGACTTTAGGAGAAGATAAACGCGATGCCGAACGGGATCCGGATTACGTAGTTCGGTTGAGAGAACTTGTTTGCTCTTTTTGTGGCTTTTAAATTAATCGACGGCATGCTTAATAATTGATGCTCCGGTCTTCCTGCGCGGTATTCCTATTTTACAGTCTTGTTTTTGGTACGCTACCACCTGAGCTTCAGGTCCTGTTTGATTGGGGGATTTTTTATGGTATCGGAGGGAGGGGGTAAGTATTTTTGGTTAGAAAAGGTGGGAGGGACCTGTTGCGTTTGTATTGGAGGGCAGAGAATGGTTCAGACACTTCTAAACTAAATTACTCATGTCAATTTTTTAATATTCTAATTTTATTCCTCCTCGCTAAAAAGTGAGCTGTCTTTTATTTCCCACTTCGTTCTTGTTCTCCTCTTCCGGGTGTGGACGCTTCTGCTTCTCTTGTCAAGCGGTCGCTCTGGTTGCATAGCATAGAATGTTCTATGGTGTACGTTACTGATCAGCTAGCAGTTCCTTCTGAATTACTTCGCCTTGCTCCTCTTCTTTCTGAATGGTTGTGGCGTGACTCGGGTTCTCTTTCTTTGTGCGCCTTGCACAATAAGTTCTCCATTTTGAAAATATCTCTATTGTAGAAATATAAACAATCCATTTGATCACTGTTTCGGATTCAGTTAATTTTAAATCAATGCTTTGATCGCCCGCCCCGAAAAGTTCAAAAGAGCAATACTAATTTCTTCGCCGCCTTGTCATTTCATGGGGTCACCCACCATTGATGGGTAGTTTTTGGATATTTTTAATTGAAGGCAAATGTAACGTATGAGGGTATTCAAATATTGGTTGCTACATGGTTTTTTTGCATTATACTGTACGTCATATTTCTCATATAAAACATTTAAAATTATACTTCAAAATGTGTTAATAATCTTTCTTTTTTTTTATACCAAATACCCGTCTATCCTTGTCAATAACGAGATTAAGAACAAACTGTATTAATGACAATTTCAAATACTTATTGCAATTACAAATTACTTTTGAGATATCAAACTACTATTAAGCAGCTCATGTAAATGTTAGTATACATATTATTGTTAATATCAGTAAGGTCATAAAATACTTCATTATAACTTGCATTCAACGTGGGACGCTGGAGGCAGTGCAAATTGAGCAAGCTAAATATGTCCAGCCTTTAATTACTGAATTTAACCTGATTACAATTAAAATACATGAAAATATTCATATAAAAAATTGAAAAAAGTATTTAGATGAAAGATGAGTATTAATCCAACAGTTATTAAATTCTTTTTTCTAACCTCAACGAGGTTACTCCGAACTTGGTAAGAAAAAGGGGAACAAATATAACTTTGATGGTTAAATAAGAGAATGACTTACAAATAGTTTTTAATCATGATTTATAGAATACTAAAAAAATATAAATACATGAAAAAGTTTTATTTTAATTTATATGAAATATGCTTGATTTCAAACGGAATCTTAATTTTTTTTTGGTCTTGGTAGTTAACTTAGTTAATTGACTTGTCAACTTGAATTAAATTTAGTCAGCATGGTAAGTCCAGAGCCCATTTCGATCAAATACTCCAGTCTCCATTGCTCATGTTTTAGGGTCCACACCAAAAAAAAGAAAATATAAGTCCGCAACTTTTAATTAGGCTTCTTCCACAACCAAGAAGCGCGGGATAAACCAGGCCATGACAGGCATTCCATGTTGGCCGCTGAAGACGCTATATACTGATGGCTAATTCATTGAATACAAGAAAAATGGTACAAACCATACACAGAATCATCAGTAGCCCGTACCAGCAGACAAAAAGATGCCTCAAAACTACAAAAGATTAATGCATTATAAGCCATGCCCACCCTATGAAACAAACCACTAAGGAAAACTTCAAAATTATTTTAACTTGAACCTCCACCTCCATCAGAAGCAAGGAAAAAATGATGCATCAAAATCCCACAAGAAATCTATGCAAAACTCCCAAGCAGAAAACTTCCTGCATGAAATGAGCGAATAGCTGAAGCTTAAACAGTGGCTTGGATGTCAGTAGCTGCTACCCATGGGTGGCATGCCAAAAGGAGGCATTGGAGGCCTCCCTAGCCCACCCATTGGAGGGGGAGGAGGAAGAAGCCTCCCATACCTGCCCCTCCTCCCATAGGCTCGGTGTGGTGCAGGCAAGGCAAGAGGCAACAATTGGGCATACATGTTCGCAACAGCAACAGAAAACATCACATTCAATCAAATAAAACGAATGTCCAACCCGTTAAGAAGGAATGATCAATGAGGATATAGAAATTATCAACAAAGAGCAATCAAGATGATCAATATGCTGACAAAAATGCCAGTAGTAATCAGCAGCAGTAAACAGCAAACACTATGCTATGATGAAGCACCAGGCAAAACCAAGGCCACCAAACTAATTACCTGTTGTGCAATAACTTCCTTCTCCTCGTTCTCTTTGGCCTTCACTTCATTCTGTGCCTCAATTTTGTCCTTCACCAGTTCATCAACCTTGCCAGTGTACTCACGGATAAACTACACAAGTTTAAAAAGTACGGAGAAAAAATATGATATGAATCATGAGATAGGTGAAAAGAAAAAAATACATCTGTTAGTTAACAGAGAATTGCTAGGGTAAGTAAATTCAAGACCACAACACAGGTAAAGCATATAAAACCAAGCAACTTGCACAAGCCTATTAGATAGACAGCCTAGTATCTCCCCAAGTGTCCGAAACACAATTCAATCTCCGCCATCCATTCCACCCAAAATAGTTTGGAGTCATGGTTTAAGATTGTTAACCCATAAAATCAACAGACTTCCAGGAGAAGCTCAAGTTCACGTAAGTGAAAACGGGCATAATTAAGAGCATGCATTTTGGGGACCTGACGGACAGGAGCTAAAGGCAAAAGCACTATGTTATTTCCTAGAGGATGAAGACTGGCATCACATATTTCTCGAAAACAACATACTTGTAAACTAAATTACATGTGGTGAGAAAGCAAAATCAAATACAGACCTGCAAGAGATAGGGGAAGGCAAAGTCAATGATGTTGTTCATCCAGGCAAGTTCAAGTGCGATGTCTGCCCGGATTAAATCATAACAAACGAAGAGGCATGAAGCAAAGCATTCCTTCTTTCCCTACATAACCATGTGAAAAGAAAAATTAGAATGTGTCAGCATAATGCAACTTTAACATACATGATTTATAAATATTGAAACACCATTAATTTGAAAAAAATAATTTAAGGAGAAAAAGGATGTAATGACAAATCCTTCAAAAATTAAGGGATACATCAAGATGAAACAGCTAAAAACAATTGTTTCAGTAACCTTGAAAGAGAAAGATAGGAAAAATGAAAATTCTACACGCTATGAAGGATGTTGAATAGTAGGCATACAAGAAAAAGCTAGAGTTAACCTTGTGCATTTCTGCCAATTCAGAGATATAGTCCATATTGTCTATAGCTTGCAAACAAGACAACTTTCCGCTTTTATATTTCATATGGAATATTGATATGCCAACATGATAATGTAGCTTGTCATAGCGAATAATCAAACAAATCACATTCAACTGGTGATATCTATAACCAAGTAAAAGCCTACCTCGCCATCTTATTTGTTCCCTTCTCCTCTATTCTCAGTCTTCCTGGGCCCACATTTAAGGGAAGAAACTTTCCGCTTTTTATATTTCATATGGAATATTGATATGCCAACATGATAATGTAGCTTGTCATAGCGAATAATCAAACAAATCACATTCAACTGGTGATATCTATAACCAAGTAAAAAGCCTACCTCGCCATCTTATTTTTTCCCTTCTCCTCTATTCTCAGTCTTCCTGGGCCCACATTTAAGGGTTCATGTTTCTCTATCTGCATCAGATAACAATAATCTATCAGGTTTCCCGAATTAAATTGAAAAAGTCACCATGAAGACATAAAGCTCACCTTCTGTGCCAAGCCTATTTGATCAAAGTTATCGTGCACAAATCAATTGATTCACGCAATCTGTCATAGTCTTCCTCCTCAACATATATTTCATTCAATGCCTCATTAACAGCAGAGACATTGTTGCTCTGAACTGCAACCATGTATGGCTTCACCAGACGAAGGTGACCAGCCTAGAAAAGAAGATTACAAGGAAAAAGAATAGGGAAAAATTTAGTAATATAGGAAGAAAGCTGTGCACTAAGATGTAATGAAATAATTTCCGGTACAAAAACAACCTTCCGCATGATGTCCACAACACGTGCATGATCCACACGGAGTGCAAGGACATTCAAAACATCATTGATAAGATCAGGATGCTCTTGCAGGTAGAAGTGAACAGCCTTGTAATACAATTCCACATTGGCAACTTTGGCTACAACATCTTTGAATTGCATGTGATCCCATGCTTCTGGAGAATGGTTCATGATAGTAGTCGCAGCATTATCAAACTCATCATACTGAATGTACAAATATGTCAGTTCCTTCCAATGCTGTTGTTCATCACAAGCTCTGATGAGCTTTGGAATATTGAGGCGGGTTGAAAACAGTTTGATATGCTCCATAAGCTTCTCAGGACGATATCTAGCATATAGAACACCTAACTCAGTGAAGATACCCATATGTGCCCGTTCTAATCCTAAACCACTCTCCATGAGAGATATCAGTTCATTGAAGCATCCTCTATTTTGGTAGTATTCGCTGACCTCTTCCAAGTCATCCACCTAAAAAATTTGAGAAAAAAAAGACCACAAGAATTTGAATATAAGAACATCAACTGAAGACCAATGCGCAACTCTTCTAATAAGATAAGCATGGAAAATCCCCAGTCATTAGTCCTTCATGGCAAACTTTTAGGAATGTGATTCCCCATTTTCTCAAGAATCTTTCAAAGCCTCAAATCAATCACCCGTTTTTTTCAAAAATAAAAATCAGATGAAAGCCAAACTCAAAATAAACTTCCCTATTGTACTGAAAAAGAAGAAAATAAAAATCATAGTTCATATAAAATAAATTGGAAAAATGGGTCAGCTTATAACGAATAATAATGTTGAGCCCACAGATCTGAGCCAATCGGAACTCTTCTGCATCAACACAAGCAAAGCAAACTTCCTTCCATGTTTTTGAGCTGTTGGCTTTCCTTGCAGCATCAACAGCTCCCTGGAACTGTTTTAACTTGACTAGTGTGACCGCCAGCTTAGCCCAGTTGGATATAAAAGCAAATATGATTTTGGCAGCCTCATAAAGTGCCTCATCATACAATCGGTCACCAACATTTTGAAGATTAGCCACATTCGGCATAAGAATGAACTCCTCAATGTCACTGAGCCTATCAATCTTTGCATATGCATAAATGAGCTCACTGTCCACCTTGGGTTCTTTTG